TTGGTGCCTGTGGAAGGCAAGGAGTAGATGATGGGCATGGGGGTGGGACTGGAAGATGCTGGTGTCCTCCCAAGGATTAGGGAAATTGTGACAGTGTAGCTCTGGATCAGGCTTTGAGTCTTCACTCTGCCCCCTGCTTGCTTTTGTGACCTTGGGCAAGTTGCTTAACCCCCAGAACCTGGTCTTCTTATCTGACACTGGAGGTGGAGATAATACCTCAGTCTTCTTGGATGGGGCATTGCTGGGTGAGGCGTGGCCTGCCTAGCAGGTGGGTGGAAAAGGGAGAGACTCAGGCCCTGTTGGGATAGGAAAGGCTTCATGGAGAACTTTAGCAGAGAAGGGGGAAGAGGAGGAGAACTCTAGACCTCCGGGACAGGATAAAGTCTTGGGTCTGAGGGCTTTTCTTGATCCTGGAGTGCTTATACCTTCCATGTGGTATCCACTCTGCCATGTTCTATAGTTTGGAAGACTTCCCTTCCTTTAGGGAAGAGGCAGGGCAGGAACCTATCTGGGCCATACCTGGAGCAATAGGTTGGCTGGGACTTTGACTTGGGTGCTGGTGTTTCTAGGGCTCTTTCTGACATAGATGCACTTAAACGTCAGGGGGCTCAGAGCTGCTCAGTGGCCGTGCCTTGTGTAGTTATGACCTCTGCCTGGCATGCCTTGTGCCTCCCACCTGACAATAGAGCTCTGAGTGGGATAGGCAACTCCCCGCTCTCAGCTGGAAGAGTGTCATGTTACGTTGTAACTCTGGTTAGGTGTTCCTTGCCGGGAGGTGGTAAAGGTGAAAGAACAGTGTCTCATTGGGTGTCTTGCCAAAGGCTAGGTAGAACTTCTTCCAGTCCCTCAGCATATTTCCAGACCTCCTGCAGGCCTGCCCTGGCAAAGAGGTCTACCCAAGATGGGAAGGCAGGGTGACACTCTTTCCCTGTCCTTCATCTTTCTCTCCAGGGCCCTTCATCCTGACTGGGTGTGGGCTGGGAAAAATTCCCTGAATTTGAGAGGGGTGTCAGTCGAGGTGACTGAGGTTCCTCTGGTTGGGGGGGGGGGTGGTTCTTTCCTTCCTGCAGGTAGTCACTAGGCATTGACTAGAAGGGGCAGCATTCTGAGGAGGATACTGCTCACAAGAATCAAAAATACCAGCTATGAAAACCACATCCTGAGTTTGGCTTCCACCAGTAGGCCTGAAGGTGGGGTGTGACATTGCGCCTCTGTTTCCAGGAGGGATGGTGTACCCATCACCAGACCCCAGGGCATCCCAGGACTCTTTTCCTATTCTCTAGTGGCACCACTTGGACGCCAAATGACTTGAGCAGTTCTGAATGCCCCAACCTCCTGGGGCAAGATTCTGGGCAGGATGGGTGACCAGACTGTGTTGGGGCAACTCTCATCAGAATAGAACATTCCATGGCTTTGTGCTTAAGCAAGGGTCACTCTCACCTTAAAACCTCATAGCCTCTGAAAGGTGCTGGGCCAGAGCATGCTTGCCTGCTTTTTTGGGAGTGCCAGGAGTCCTTGAAGTAGCCTGTTTTGATCTTACCCTGAACCCCTGAGGCGTTGACTGGGATCATGACCAAGTAGGGGCCCTAATAGAGTGCTGCTCCGTGGGGTTAGAAGGCCATGGCTCTTGCCCACGGTTGTCTCATTGGCAAGTTGGCTTCATTATGCCCAGGGATGGGGGAGGTCTGAGGGATGTCCTTGACCTGGGACTTTGACCTCTTGCTGGAGATGCATGATAACTGCCCAGCCAAGGAGGAGCCAGGAGGTACGGGGATCTGTTTCCATCATGATCGCCCTGCCTTCACAGACTGCCTCTCCTGTGCCCACAGACTCAGTGCCATTCTGGAAACTGAGGTTGAATTGGCATCATGGGTAGATTGGTAATCAGCATTGAGAGAGGGGGCTTTGCCTCAGCCATAGACATGTCCCTCTATACTGCTGGCCCCAGGCCTTCCTGCCTTGTGGGAAAGTGAGAGGTTTGGGGGGGGGGTGCTGGTGGGGAGGAGGCGGTGGTGGAGGAATAGAGGGGCAGAGGCTCTGCTCTGTGTGCAAAGATGGGAGGGGCTCAGCTTTGGCAACCAGAGAGTTGAGCGCACACAGGCTCCTGGTGTGCCTGAGGGTCAAAAAGGGCAAGTGTGCTGGCATAGGGCAGTACTCAGTGAATGGCTGTTGGTGGTGAGTGGTTCAGGTAGGCATGTCCTGTGAAAGCGTCTGTTCTTTCTTTTTGTTTGAAACCCCCCTTGCCCCCATTTGAGGTGAAATTTACAGACAACATGCTGTTCATATCTCAGATGAGTTGACTGGTAAGAGAAGCTACCCTAACCCAAATGCCCATCAAGAAGATATAGGGCTGTTTTACTTAGAAAGTGTCTTATGCCCCTTCCTAGACAATGCTCACCTCACTGGCCATTGGCTGTGGTGGTTTTGTTTCTACCGTAAATTAGTTCTGCCTTTTCTAGAACTTGATACAAAATGTAGTCATGCCATCTGTACTTTTTTTTTTTTTTTTTTTTGGTCTGGACTTTCCTTCTCTCAGCATAATGATTTTGAGATTCATTCATGTTTGTGCATCACTTCTGCTGTCTTATTTTTTAGGATTTTGAAAGGAATACACATTAAAATTTTAAACATTATAGAAGTGTGCATATAGTTTTTCTGTAATTCCATCTGCAGAGATAACCTCATTTAACAATTGAGAGTGTGTGCCTCCAAGATATTTCTTTCTACAGGATGACATTGCCTGATCTGGTCTTCCTTAATTCTAGTCTAGGAGGGTGGGTAGGGAGATATATGAGGGAGTTGGGGGCTCTATCCTTCTCCGTGGGCCTTCCCTGGGTGGGTGGATAGGGTCAGTCACTGACTGTGTGTCTGTGTGTGGAGAGGGTATGCCTCTCTGTTTTTTCTTGTGGCTGGTCCTTGAAGGGCAGAAAAGGATACGAGAACTTGTGACAGGGCCAGACCATGATGTAATTGCCCTGTTGGGACTGGGAAGGTAATCCAGGTCTTCTAACCAGGTTCATTCCACCACACCTTCTGTGTTCATAAGGGGCAGAGCTGGTCCTACTCCCGGTATGGGTTCCTTAGAACTGATAGGTGTGCTGGCTGTTGGGTGCCAGGAGCCAGTACCAGGCAGCATCCCCATTCACACCTATGGCGGGCTCCTGTGAAGACTGGGTCCAGCCCTCTAATCCCATGGAGCATTACACAGCCAGCTTGCTGGGCCGCCCCACAGTCAAATTCTAGTTACCTGCTACTCTAGGGTAGACCCTTGCTCCCATACCCAGTGGTGGGGTAGGGGTCTCTGGCTGTCATCATTTGGGCTGGGGAGAAGAGAGCAGTGCTTTCAGGGGTCCTGGCACTGCAGCAGGGGGACACATGGACCCCTCAAAGCGGGGAGGGTGAGGTTGTCTTGTCACTTGCAACAGTGTTAGTCCAAACATGACCTAGTCTGGGATGGGTGGCAGGCAGGGTAGCATCTGTTGGCATTGTGCTTGCTGTTAACTGCCTCCCAGCAGACAGCTCCACCTTGACCCTACCCAGTAAAGAGCACAGCAAGGCTGCTCTGCCCTGTTCTGCTGAGCACTCCTGTGGGAGGGCAGGCTTTTTTTTTGGGGGGGGGGTCACGTTTGACTTTGTCTGGGAGACCTAACCTGGGTTGGTGAAGTGCCTGCCTCCATGGTCCTGTGTGAGTACCCCTAAGTCCTATTTACCACCCTGTACCATCTGTACCATGTCCAGTAATTGACCCAATCTTGGATAGCTGCAGGGTCTGACACTGTGCTGAGGTGGAGGCTACAGGGTGGGTGCTCTGCCTAGACAGGGCTCACCTTCGCCCAAGCTGTGGTGAGGAGCAGTCATGGTAGCACAGGACTGCACCACAGGTGTCTGGTTGCACTGGCTTTATGTCCGTTCTTCTGGGTTGCACTCAGCCCTTGCCAAGGCTGGGCTCTGCCTGGTCCACTACAATCTCTCACCTCCCCACAGAGGAATGGGGCCCCGGCTTGTCCTCATAAAACATGGATGCTCCCAGGCCGCTGGACCAATAGAGCTGGTTCTGCTGCCCTCTGGGCAGTCTTTGTAGGTAGGATCCTGGAACAACTGTCGTCCTACCCCTACCCCCCTGCCCCAGGCCCTATCTGTGAGAAGGGAGCTATGGTCCAGGCTGGAAAGACAGCTGGCAGGCTGGAGCAGAGGCCTCTCAGCCACCTTGCACCCCGGGTCTGGCCACATTCCTGAGGGACCTGCTGAGCCTCCCAGGCCCTGGGAGTGGGGGAAGGGCAGGCAGGGATGGGCTCCAGGCTGCTGCAGGCCTCCTCCCCGTGGCTTCATTCCAAGGGAACCTAAGTTTGTCTGAGTGGTGTGTAAGGTGCCAGAATCTTAGGACCCCCCCCCCCCCCGCCTTCCTGTGGAACCCGAAGCTCTGGGAGTAGTGGAAGCCCATCCACATCAGGGAATAGCTGCCAGCAACTTTGGTGGGCTGGTATTGAAAGACTGAGACTGCAAAACTGCAAGGGGAGATGGTGAGACTGGGCTGGGCAGGAGAGGGTGAGAGCAGATAGGAAAGGAAGGAGGCAGGAGAGCCACAGGCATTTGAGACTGGTTCTTACAAAAAGCCAGTTGCACCAGTGCTTCCAATGTTGACCTTTTGTTATGTAAATGTGACCAGCCTGGGGAGGACCTTGCCCAGGCCTCAGGTCAGGCACCCATCTGGAATTGCAAGCCTCCCGTCAGTTCCCCCAGGCCAAGGTGGCCCTTAAAATACCCTAAATCTCCTGAGTAGAAGGAGGGTGCAGTACCTGCTTGGTGCCCCAGACCTATAGCCTTCCTGCCACCTGACTTAAGGGGCACTGTGGCCACTGTCTGCACTGTCCTAGGCATCCATCCCAATTAGATCCTTAGACTTTACAGGATTAAGGGTTCCCAGGCCACCAGATACCTTCCCCTTCTCTGTCTTTCCTTACTGATGCCTGTCTAGGTGACCTTGTCCATCTTCTCCCCAGGTGACCAGGCATTGATGCACCCCCAGGGAGACCACGCGCTCAAGGAGGCCACCCCCACTGGCTGCTGCTCACATGGTTTCTGGTCCCCTGGCACTCCGGTAGGCTGGGAAGGGGGTACTGCTGGGACTGGGCTAGTGTGGGGGCAAGAGGACGTCTACCTGCTCCTTCTTGGAACTTAGTGGGTGACCCACACAGCCCTGAAGCTCTGGGCCTCCATTGTAGACTGGTCCTTCGCGTGCATGTGGTCCATGCAGTGTGGCTGCTCTCAGTCCTGGGAGGAGGGGCCGCTCTGGGCTCACAGGCTTTCAGAGGATAGACCTCCTGTCCCTGGTCTATCCCCTGGCCAGGCTTGGCACCAGGTATCCTAGGTGCTGGTAGAGCTAACATTGTTTCCCTCTGGCCAAGATACAGAAGCCACGCCTTGGGCTCTTTGTCCCCATCTGCTGGCTGGGGACAGGGAGTAGAGGATAGTTAATTTCCTCAGGACACAAACCTACCTGGCTGAGAAGGTAGGTGCTTGCTGCCTCTTGCATCAGGCCCTGAGTGCTAGCCTGTGTGCATTCATGGAGAACTCTGACGCCTTCTTTGGGGTGAATGTGATTATTAGGGTTTCCCTCTGTGTTTGCAAACAAGGGCAAGTGTAGGGCAGGGGAAGGGGAAGAATGTGTATGACAGGAAGGCTGGGTGAGTGTTAATCCTCTCAGGTTCTTCCCTGAGGGAGGCAGAGCTGTACCTCCTGGGAGCAGGAGACTGGTGCTGCGGGGTGGTGGCAAGGCTCAGAGCAGTCAGTTACTCAGAGAGATTTGAGCCACGAGTGGAAGGGCGTGAAGGTGCTTTTGTCAACTGTGTGATGCAGAGCTGCTTGTTCTCGGGGGCAGAGAGCCACAGCCTTGTGCTTTGGGCCCTGCTGCTCAATGGAGTGGGTGCATGGTCCGAGCACCCTGCTCTGGAGACCTACCGGCACACTGCTGCACAGCTCACCCTCAGGTTTCCTGAGGAGGCCGAGGCCTCTTGTGTATCGATTGCTTCAGTGACATCAGTTAGTCAGGGTCGTCTGGAAAGACCAGTTGGCTGCCTTTCCCTGGGCCCAGTCTGTACCAGGAGTTTGGCCAGGCTACCTTCTCTGCTTTGCTCATGGCAGACCAGACTGGGGCTGTGCTCAGTGCCCCCTTGGGGTGAGGCCCTCGCTGAGTAAGGGCAGGTGTTGGTGAGGGATGGCAGAGAGCTCCAGGTCTTAGAGGTAGTAATGTGATATTGGCAAATCTAAAAGCATGGTAAATGTCTGGGATTGTTTGGGAGGTTCCCAGTATAGAGCCAGAGGTCACAGACCAAAAGCTGAGTATTTGATTTGGCCCACATGTTTCTTAAGGAAAAGAATCTTCAGTTTTGCATTGTAAAAGATTTGGATTTCCCACTTGTGCTGAAAGCTAGGCAGTTGTGTGCTCATATAAGAAGTCATTCTGCTCCGGGGCTCCTGTTCCCCTCAATCCTGATCAGTTCTCAGCACTGTTGCTCATTTCTGGGGCCCCTGTGGGCATATGATTGACTTTCTTTAGCCCAGACTGAGAAAGTACCTCAAGCTGTGGAGTCAAATTTAAATCCCAGTTTCTGTACTTGGTACTGTGTGGCCTTCATTGTCCTCTGCTTCCTTTTTCAAATCTGTAAATGGCATTGGTACCGCTGTCTTTCTCTGGTAGTGTGAGTCCTTGGTGGACAGTATGAGTTCTGTCCCTCTATAATATACCCGAGGAGGTGACCTGCAGCCAGGTCAATACAGAGGCCCTTCTGAGTGCCACCCGTGCACAAGGGCCCTTGTCAGCTAACAAGTATGTGCCTGTTCTTGCCCACAGGTGGTGTGCGTGGGCAGGGCGTGGGGACATGGGGCCCGACATGGAACTGCCCAGCCACTCAAAGCAGCTCCTGCTGCAGCTGAACCAGCAGAGGACGAAGGGTTTCCTATGTGATGTCATTATTATGGTGGAGAACTCCATCTTCCGGGCCCACAAGAATGTCCTGGCTGCCAGCAGCATCTACTTCAAGTCTCTGGTCTTACACGACAACCTCATCAACCTGGACACGGACATGGTCAGCTCCACAGTGTTCCAGCAGATCCTGGACTTCATTTACACAGGCAAGCTGCTGCCCAGTGACCAGCCGGCCGAGCCCAATTTCAGCACTCTCCTCACTGCCGCCAGCTACCTCCAGCTGCCCGAGTTGGCAGCCCTCTGCCGCCGCAAACTCAAGCGTGCTGGCAAGCCCTTTGGCTCTGGACGCGTGGGGACTGCCGGTATGGGGCGGCCCCCCCGCAACCAGCGACTTTCCACAGCCTCTGTAATCCAGGCTCGCTATCCAGGGCTTGTCGATGGGCGTAAGGGGACCCATACCCCCCAGGAGCTCTCCCAGGCCAAAGGCTCCGATGATGAGCTTTTCCTCAGCGGTTCTAACCAAGAGAGCACACACGGCCTGGGCCGGGCTGTCTGTCCAGCCACTGGGGAGGCTGGCCTGGGCAGCTGCAGTACCAATGGGAGCAGTGGGGGATGTGAGCAGGAGCTGGGTCTAGATCTGTCCAAGAAGAGCCCCCCACTACCTCCTACCACCCCTGGTCCTCCTCTAACTCCTGATGACCCGGCCCAACTGAGTGACAGTCAGCACGACTCACCTCTCTCAGCCTCTGCCCCTCCTGTTGCCAATAGTGCCTCTTATGCTGAGCTTGGGGGCACCCCCAATGAGCCAATGGATCTGGAGGGGGTGGAGGACAACCACTTGAGCCTGCTGGAGGGGCCTGGTGGGCAACCTCGGAAGAGCCTGCGGCACTCGGCCCGCAAAAAAGAGTGGAGCAAGAAGGAGACTGTGTCAGGTTCCCCCTTTGAGCGAAGGGAAGGGGGACCCAAGGGTCCGTGCCCAGGGGAAGAAGGAGAGGGGCTTGGGGACAGGGTTCCCAATGGTATCCTGGCCAGCAGTGTCAGAGGGGCTGGCCCCAGTGGGCCCTATGGAGAGCCTGCATACCCCTGCAAGGAGGAAGAGGAGAATGGCAAGGATGGGAGCGAGGACAGTGGGCAGAGTGGGAGTGAGGGTGGCAGTGGCCACACGAGCACCCACTATGTATACCGGCAGGAGGGCTATGAGACCGTGTCTTATGGGGACAACCTGTACGTGTGCATCCCTTGCGCCAAAGGCTTCCCCAGCTCCGAGCAGCTCAATGCCCATGTTGAGACACATACGGAAGAGGAGCTGTTTATCAAGGAGGAGGGAGCCTATGAGACAGGTAGTGGGGGTGCCGAGGAGGAGGCTGAGGACTTGTCAGCACCCAGTGCGGCCTACACGACTGAGCCCCGGCCCTTCAAGTGCTCAGTCTGTGAGAAGACCTACAAGGACCCGGCCACGCTGCGGCAACATGAGAAGACACATTGGCTGACACGGCCCTTCCCCTGCAACATCTGTGGCAAGATGTTCACACAGCGTGGCACCATGACACGCCATATGCGCAGTCACCTGGGCCTGAAGCCTTTTGCCTGTGATGAGTGTGGCATGCGCTTTACCCGCCAGTACCGCCTCACTGAGCACATGCGTGTGCATTCAGGTGAGAAGCCCTACGAGTGCCAGCTCTGTGGGGGCAAGTTCACCCAGCAACGTAACCTCATTAGCCACCTGCGCATGCATACCTCCCCCTCCTAGAAGCCAAAGACCCTTCTCCCCCACCCCAGGGCACTTCTGCAGACTTGCCCTTGGGAACCAATGGAAGGAAGAAGCAAGGAGGCTAGGCAGGTGGGACTGGAGGCTGGGCAGGCGGGACCGGAACCCCGCAGTCCAGCAGGGGTGGCTCCTGGTGGCACCTCCGGCCTGCCCCCCAACACCCAGAGCTTTAATCAACAGTCTGTACCAAGGGAAGAGAGGAGGAAAGCAGCAGGCACAAGTCCCACATGTGCGTCACAGGTGTCCGGTCTACCTCCCTACACCACCCAGGCCCCTGGCTTTCTGCAAGGACACCCACAGGAGTGGGTCATGGGGTCTCCCTGGGACCTAACCCCTTCCCCACAGGAAAGTGGGGCCCTCCCTCTGCTGGGAGCCAGGGGTGGTGTTCGTGTGTGCACGAGTGCTTGTTTATGTTCCGGAGGCCCTGGTTCTGCAGGAGTGGTGCTGGAGGGGGGCACAGAGCTGTCCTTTAGCCAGGGGCCTCATTGCCTACCTCTCCTTAAAGAGCCCTCTGGGCCTCTGTTGCTGTTATTCCTACTGATCTGATCCTTTTTTCTTTTTGAATTTTGTTTTTTAAACCAAAACCAACAAGAGTTGATTTTCCTACCAGCCCTTCGGGTTGAGCTTGGGTCTGCAGACTGAATGTACAGGGGCAGCCGCCCCTCCCCCACCCCCTGGCTGCGGGCTGCTGGGTGCCCATCCCTTTAAGGCCCCAGAAGCCCTTCTTGCCCAAAGGCTTCCCTGGGCCCCGAGCCCTGCCTCGGCTGCCTCAGGAGAGAGAGTGCTTTTCCTATAGTTTTCTGAGGAACATGCTTTGTTTAGAGGTACTTGTTTTTTATTAAGAGAAAAAACAGTGTAACGTTTATGTGAATGTTTGAACTGGAAGGTCTGGGTTCGTGGGGGGCGGGGGGGAGGCTGGAATGATGCCAGAGCTGTCGGTACTCTTGTTTTTCATTTTCCATGTTGTGCGTGTGTGGTGTGTGAACAGATGTTGCGCTTTCCTTCCTTCCTTACTGATCAAGGTGGAGAGACTTCTGACCTTTTGCTACCTCTTGAATTCACGAGAACAGTGCGTTGGTGACTGGCAGTTGAGGCCAAGACACTTTTGTTTTCCTCCTGTTAGTAGGCACAGGAAGGCATGTGTTTGAGTGAGCTAGACCAGGACCAGCTAAGGCAGCCCTCCTGTGCTCAGCCAAGGTGCAGTCCTGGGCCCTGGTGCTCTTGAAGGGTGCTTCTGCCGTTGTGAGTCTCTGGGCTTGCATGTACGTTTTCTCTGTGTGTTCTGAGTGTGCTGCTGAACTCCAGGGAGTTTGCAGAAGCCTCTGATCTGGGTCCAGGTTTGGAGGATGAATGATCTACCCCCGTTGAAGCGCCTGGTATGGCTCTAGGTGCCTACTAGGCACCCAGCAGTTGTGAGCCATGCTCCTTGCAGCTCCCTGCCAGGACCAGGATGAGGTGGAAGTGAGCCCCCCCCATCCTGTCCCCTGGGCCTGTAGGAGCTTGAGCTTGGGAGAGCAGCAACTCCAGCCTGGCCAGTGTAGAGGCTTAGGGAGGGACTGACCAAAGTATTGTATACTCCCTGGGGGATAGGGAAGGGACCTGCCTTGCTTTGGCTCCTCTCTGGTTGGCCCTGGCCCACAACCAGCTGCTCTGGTAAGAGGCTGGCATCCACCCATTGCTCAGCCCTGTTTGGGGTCCCCACCCTTTGTCCCTCACTTGGGCTTTCTCTGCTAGCCTCAGACACCTCACAGGCCCATTGCTGGGCTCTCAAGGCCAGACCAAGTTTGTCACGGTTGGTCCCACTGTCCTCGACTGACTGGAGCCACAAGGCTGGGCCAGCAACTTTATCTACTTTATTATCTGCTTTATTTGCTTCGTGCTTTTATTTGTTTTTTGCTTTTCTACTTTAAGTTCAGACCAAAAAATTCTGGAGTCACCCCCTGTTCCCATCCCTCCACCCACCCCTCCAGAGACACTCTAGCTGAAAACAGAGCCTGAGTTCAGGGACCCTGAGTGGTGGATGGTGTGTTTGGGAGTGATCTGGCTCCTCTGCCCTTTGGGTGGGAAACAGAACTGAACCCAGGGTCTTGTATTCCAGGAAGTTAGACTGAGAATCTGGGCCAGGGAAGTCCCCCACTTGTTTCAGGCCCCTCTGCTCTCCTGACCCCACCCCACTCTGTCAGCACTTAAGCTACATGACACAAAGTCTGTACCGCACAGGAATCGTACACTCGCCCACCCTGTGCATAACCTCCTGGGCCATGGGCAGCCACCACCTGGAGGTGACTTGTGAAAGTACGTGACTCATTTGCAGAGCTTCAGGGACTGGGCGCAAAGGCCCCCTCACTCAGCGGCATTTGTGCGACATAGTATTGTACCCACCTGAGTATTGTATCGAGCCTTTTCTGTATTTTAACAAGAAAGCAAAACACTAGTTTCCTATTTAAAATTTTAAGGGTTTGTGGGGCGGGGTGGGATTAACACAACACTTGGTTTTGTTTTCTTTTTCCTTTGATTTCATGTTGAATGTGTGCTTGTGAGTGTGTATGTGGCGATGTGTTAAGAGCCTCACAAGTAAATTAGGCCATTGGAGGCCAAGGGCGGCTTACAGTTCTCTGCTTTAGCCACTTAATTCCTGAATGTTTCGGAGAAACAGGAAACAGAAAATAGCAGATGTCATGTAGGAAAGAGGATAAACAAAAAAAAGAAAAAAGAAAAAAAAAGAAAAAAAAAAAAAAAAAAAAGAAAGCTCATATCCAAATTCACAAAACCTATTTTTTAAACCAAAGCACATTTTGAATGAGTATGGAACCTCAATGGGCTCAGAAAAAGATACTAATATATTTATCTCATTGTTTACATAAACTTTTACAGTTTCAGACCTCAGCAGCTGTAAGGCCAGTCCCAGTGAATCCCCACCTTCTGCCAGAGGCCTTTCTGAATTGGCCCTGAAGTGGCTCATGGACAGGGGGGACCTATGGGGTTGGTGCAGGAGTGGAGGCCCCTGGATTCACCTGAGCCCTTTCATTTAGCCCTGGGCCTCTCCAAGCCCACCTGGCACCAAAGAGCTTGGGGCCTGTGTTGATCAGCCCTCAGGTCTTCTGGCTGGACTGTGGTGGTCCTGACTGGCTGGCACAGCAGGGGGTAGCAATTGGCTCTGGCCACAGGACCCACCTGGGCTTGGGCCCCTGGATGGAACCAAGCCCCTTCTGCTGCTCTGCCTGGGACTCTTGGGGTGGGTTGATGTGAGGGTCCCTCTCAAGCCAAAAAACTGGGACCTTTGCACAGCTCCCTATTGATTCCAGCAGTTCCCCATCCCCACTCCTGGCAGTGGGAGGGACTGACTGGGCTGGTCCTTATCAACACAGAAGGTGCAAACACTCTGAACAGTGTTGTTTTTGTATCAATATGTTTGTGCAGTGATGAATGTATTTATTTCTCAGACTTGGGGCGGGGGAGCTGCAGGCTGGCCTCCGCCATGGCATGCTCCCGCCAGACCGAGCCATTGTTAGGGCTCCTCCAGGATTGCAAGAAAAAAAAAAAAAAAAGAAAAAAAAAAAAGAAAAGATGAACCTTTAAAGCAAATAATCTCAGAGACTCATAGCATAGCCATACACCTCAGCCTGTGAAACGAACAATGAACAATCCGGACCCAGACTGACCTTCAGGACCTCATGCAGTCTTGTGTGTTTCCCGTTATCACCACTTGGGGTGCTGGACTGTCCCACCCCCATCCCCTGTCTGTCAGTATTCACTGGACTCACCGTGTGCAGGAGTGCGATCTGGCCTGGGTGGGCTGAGCGGGCAGACCCCGGCTGCCTCCCGCACAGCCATCCTGAGTTGGGGTGAGGCCTGGGCAGCCAGGAGGACAGGGCCCAAGGAAGAGGTGACTGCATACATCTGGTCCCCTTGGCCTGGGGGACAAAAGCAGAGGCTTCAGCCCTTATGAGGACCGAACAGCCCTGCTGCGCACCCTGAAGGGACCAAGGCCCTGGCTGTTCCCTGATTTGTGTTGGGGCAGGTGATACTGAACCTGTGAATCCAGTGCCAGGAGTGAGGGGATGGAAGGGATACCTAACCAGAACCTCAGTCTGACATTCCAAATTGGGGTGGGTGTGAGCTGTGGGAATTAAGGCTGCCCAGGACCCCCTTCTAAGGACACCGGCTTTAGTCATCCCACTTTAAGTTTCTACCGGGAATCCCTCCCCCTACCTCACCTTGCTATTTATTGCTGTAATTTATTGACCTCAAAAATGCTGCATAACAGACCTCACTCAGGGTAGGGAGGATCCCCAGGGCTCCCCTTCCCCACTTGGTGGGGCCCTGTGGGGCCAGGTGCTGAGGGGAACCTCTCTACCCCACCCATCACTTGCTTTCCCCTTCCCCTCTTTGGGGGACCCCAGGTTGGGCACTGACCCATTTGCAAATACCTCAAAGGGGAGGGGGAGGGATGGGGCTATAACATTTTGTTTAATCAGAACTGGAAGAGGGATCATGTCCTACTTTTTGCCCTTCCCAGAAAGGGGGAGGGACACTGATCGCACTCCTGTACTGGCCACCGCCACTATCAGTCATCACTTTGAGTTCACTTCCCTCGAGAGTTTGGATAAATTCAGGTCAGAGCTGCACCTATGCAGCCTCAAGTGTCATAGAAAAGCAATTCACCGACGACTGATCTCTCCATTCAGAAGTGTGCAGTCTTAATGTACAGTGATGAGAAACTGTTATTTTATGATCTTTTCATTAAAAGCTTGATTGAAAACTATCTTGTGTGGGGTCTTTGTTCTGTGGCTGTTTTTGCTTGCTAAGTGACAGGCACTTCCTTGCCCATTGCTTCCAAGACCTAGAAGTGGGGAGCTGGGATAGACATCAACCCACCACTGTCCTAAGGGTTTCAGGTGGGACTGGGACTTCACTTGGTAGTGAGTGTGCATCCCTGAGGTTGGTCACTGTATGAGGGAACCAACACTTGTGTCAGCATCCTGAGTATTGGCCTGAGTTGGTCAAGGCAGTTTAGGAAGCAGCAGGTATAGTCAGGGGCTTTGACCTGGTAACCCAGGTGAGGGTCTGACTTCTACCCAGGGCTACCCACTCATTAGGGTAGGGATGGCTCTCCTGTCCACTGCTCTCTCATGTTGCTTGGTCTACTGGTGGAGAGGGAGAGGAGGAAAGAGAGAATCTTTATCTCTCTAGTCAGGGGGTATTAGTCAGTCCTGATGGTTAGGGTGGGATTTCCAGAGTGAAGAAAGACCCAGGAGAAGGAACAGGGGTGGGGCCAGTCAACTAACACCCCTGACTGGTCAACTGCAGATGTCCCAGTGGCTCCAGGGCAACAGCAGATGAGACTGGTGACTCCATACTTCCAGAAGAACGTGGGTATTGATGCTCTAAATCTTGGTAAGTTCCTTTCTGTTGTAAAATTCATGATTCTCAAAATAATAGTATCTTGTCCCCCATCCCATATTGCACAGGCAAGCCATTTTTAAAATGTCTGCATTTGTCTTCATATTTTTTTTTGGTGGCTTTGTTTTACCTATGTAATTGACACAGTGCTGTATGAGTAAGTTGTAAGCATAACGACTGCACTGACTGACACATTTTGTGAAATGACCACGTTAAGTTTAGTTAACATCGGAAAAAGGGTGCTTTCCTTCTTAACTTTTTTTTTTTTTTTAAAGATTTATTTATTTACACAAGCACTGGGTACAGTCAGAAGCACGGGACGGTGAGAGAATTCACCAGAGCCAGAGCGGGAAACAGAACAGGCAGACTGATGATACACCGCTGAGGGAAACAGCAGGCGGCAGGAGAGGTCTGCGCGCCATGTGGGACCCTCCTCTGGTGGCCGGGGAGCAACCAGGGATCGAAATGGCTCTGTAGAGGCTGCGGGCGGCTTCACAACCCAGTGCTCAACCGCTGCGCCACCGGGGAGGCCCCTCACAACTTAACTCTTAAAAACTTTCAAATAGGGCCTCACTGGTGGCCTAGTTAAGTCTCAGCACCATCATGCTATCTCAGCACTACCACTGCGGCCTGAGTTCCATCCTGGCCAGGGGGCTAACCCACATAAGGTGCAGCAGACCTCTCCTGTCTCACCAGCTGCTCCCCTTAGTGCATTTCAGTCTGACTGTTCTGCTCCCCACTTTGTCTCTGGTGAATCTTCTGCCCTGCTGCACCCCAGTTTTTTCCAAAAATAAATACAATCTTAAAAAAACAAAACAGGAACCTCCCTGGTACCACAGGGGTTAAAGTCTGCACTATCAAGCTATCACCAGCCACTGCAGGGAGCTAGCCCACATGACCCAGCAGACCTCTTCAGTTGTCAGTCCGAATGTTCTGCTCCCGCTCCGTGGTGAATCCTCACCCCCTTTACCTCTGGCCTACACCTCAGCTCTACAAAATAAATACCCCCCCCCAAAAAAAAACTTTCAAATAGACCATGTAGTAGAGTTAGCTATATCATGCTGTACATTACATCCCCCATGTGTACAACAGGGAGTTAGTAGGTTTTGCCCATCTTCACTCAATCCCCTTGCACCTCACCACCTCTGGTAACCACAAATCTGATCTTTTTCTGTGAGTTGGTGTTTATTTTTTTAGATTCCACATCTAATGGGATCATACAGTATTTGTCTTCTTCTGACATTTCACTTAGAACAATGCCTTCAAGTTCCATTCGTGTTGTGAATGTCTCTACATTTCTCTCTCCCTTTTAAAGATTTACAAAGGGGCCTTCCTGGTGGCGCAAGGGGTTAAGCACAACACAAGGAAGCAATCCTCAGCCACTGCAGCAACCCACATGGAGAAGGAGACCTCTCCTGTCTCACCCGTTGCTCCCCTCAGCAGTGTATTTCAGTCAGTCTGCCTGTTCTGCGCCCTACTCTGTCTCTGGCAAATCCTCTCATCCCCTGCACCTCTGGCCTATACCCCAGTTCTTGTATGCATAAATAATAAATATATCTTTAAAAAATAAAGGGTTACAAGGTGTATATTTTGTCATGAAAACTCTACACTGTTATGCACTTGGGAAAAAAAATACAAACAATTTATGACAAATTCATGTAAGCAATACCTTCATACCATGCAACAAAAAGTACATTAATGGGGCCTCCCCGGGATCCCACATGGCGCGCAGACCTCTCCTGCTGCCTGCTGCTCCCCTCAGCAGTGTGCTTCGTCACTCTGCCTGTTCTACTCTCCGCTCCGGCTCGGGTGAATTCTCTCACCCTCCCGCGCCTCTGACTATACCCAGTGGTTGTATAAATAAATAAATAAATCTTTAAAAAAAAGTACATTAATGAAGATGCACAAGCTTTTGTAGGTTTTAAACCGAAGGACTTTTTTTTTTTTTTTTTTCCGTCTGCAGAAACCTTAAAACCTGTGGCACTAAAAATTTCTTAGCTGTAATATAAACCAATGTTAATAAAAATATTTAAATGATTTCTTAGCCTTTCGACTGAGAACTAAATCATACACAAGAATGATGGCAAAGATGAACAGACTAGTCTATTATGAATCATTCCAGCTTTGTTCAACAATGACTGAAACTCTTATAATCTCGTTTGTTTTCCTGATGAAGCTGTGGCTTGGCTATTGGCTATTGGCGGGACTGTTTCGATTCAGTTCACCCAGCAGAGACTGGATGTTAGGAGACTGATGTTAGGATGGAAGATACATTAAATGTTGGACTCTCTCTGTTTGGAAGTGTATCTAAACTGTACCATCAACACACAGAGATCACATAGGCATGAAACATTTTGTATAAAAGCCTAACAGCTGGCAGTTTATTTGGCTATCCTTCAGAAAATCCTATTATTGGTTTAAAAATACCATCTTCAAAGAATCTCCCTTTAGGTCCAAATATAAACTGCATTCTGCTTTGTGATAGTGTTTTTCAGATGGCGTGCCACTGACCCTTCCACAGGGGGGTCCTCTTGCAGTCACTTGAAATTACACATACTCCTGGCTGGGGTTCACATGTGCCCCAGCTGCTCCTAAAAGAAGAGTCCTGAGCAGGCCCCCCAAATCTAACTCCTGACCCCCCACCCCAGTGCGGTGGCTGAATCACTGGTCACTTTTCTAAATCTCATGCTGCTGGCTTGCTTTCTTTTGTTTGTTTCATCAAAATTTGTTTTGGGCCTCCCTGGTGGCGCAGGCGGTTGAACACAGCACTGTGAAGCTGTCCGCAGCCTCTGCAGGGCAGGTACGATCCTGGCCGGCCAGCGAGAATCCCACACGGCACTGCAGACCTCTCCTGTCTCGCCCGCTGCTCCCCTCAGCAGTGTATTTTGTCAGTCTGCCTGTTATGTACCCCGCTCTGTCTTTGGTGAGTCCTCTCACACCTGCACATCTGGCCTGTACCCCGGTTCTTATATAAATAAATCTTTTTTAAAAAGATTTGTTTTTAAAAGAAGTTATTGAAAAATACCATCTAAACCAATCACTGGAGAGAAACATTGTTATAATTTGATGTATATCCTATTCTATTAGTCTTTTCATGACATGTACATACAGAGGGGGAGAAGGGTGTATATTTTGAGTTATTGGTACTTTGATGGTAGCGTGGTGGGATAACATACTTTTGAAGAGGTGTGAACCTGTAGTCCCAAAACATATACAGATGTAAACCAGTTACTACAGAAAAAGACACTTTTAAAAAATACAAAATTGCAGTTACAAGAAAAAGTAAGCACTAGGGATGTAATGTACAACATGATGTCTCTAGCTAACACTGCTGTATCAGGAAAGTTTTTCCCCTTAAATTTTACTGACTTGCCACTCATTTACATAACTGGTTTTACACAGACTCAGACACTGTATTGTTATTTTCCCCACAGATTCATGCTTCCTGGAGCCTGCTGTTGTCCCACCCTGACTGGGCTAAAAGTCTCTAGACTTTTTTCCTGCATTGGAAACCTCCTGAACCCCATGTGTTCTTTTTCTTGGGTTCCATGCTTGTTCGGTCACATGTTACCTCCAGTTTCCTGAGGAAAAAACACTTGAGAAGTAGATTTTTTGAGACTTGAATGTTAAAAAATGCTTTTAAATGGCATAGAATTGATGGTTCAACTGGAATTGGATATTGGATGTCTCTAGATATCTAGAAATGGAGTTAGACATTGGATATCATTTTCCTGTTGAATTTTTTGTTTCATTAGCTTCTAACTTCCAACGTAATGAGAAGTCCCATTCCCCTTGTGTGTGATCTGACTTCCTCTCGAAGTCTTAGCTGGTTTGTCCATTATTGGGCTAAGTATTTGATTGTGTTAGTTTCATTCACGATACTCATTCCTGTCAGTAAACTTGATTTTTATTTTTTATTTTTATTTATTTTTTGATTTATTTATTTATGCATACAAGAGCTGGGACACAGGCCAGAGATGTGGGGGGTGAAGAGGACTCACCAGAGACAGTGGGGAACAGAACAGGCAGACTGTCCGAAGTACACTGCTGAGGGAAGCAGTGGGCGAGTCAGGAGAGGTCTGCTGCGCCATGTGGGTTGCTCCCTGGCCAGTCAGGGGATTAAACTCATGCTGCAGAGACTGTGGATCACTTCATAGTGTGGTACTTAATCCCTTATGCCACCAGGGAGGCCCTAAACTTGATTTTTAATTTTTTTTTTTTTTTTTTTTTTTTGTGGGACCCTCACCGGCGGCCGGGGAACGAACCAGCTCTGCAGAGGCTGCGGGCAGCCTTGCAGCCCAGTGCTCAACCACTGCGCCACCAGGGGAGGCCCTCTAAACTTGATTTTTAAAACATCTCAGCAGTTATTTTTAATTTCCTTTCTTCTGTTTGCTCCTTAATTATGGTATTTTCTTCTCTTTTCATAATGTAATTTCCTTCTAAGGAAAATTTAATTTTTTTTTCCAAATAGTTTGTTGTTGTTGTTTTTTTAAAGATTTATTTCTTTGTTTATACAAGCACTGGGTACAGTCAGAAGCGCGGGAGGGTGAGAGAATTCACCAGAGCCAGAGCAGGGAGCAGAGCAGGCAGAAGGACCGAAGTACACTGCTGAGAGGAGCAGCGGGCGGCAGGAGAGGTCTGCGCACAATGGGACCCTCCTCCGGGGGGCCGGGGAGCAACTGGGGATTGAACCGGCGCTGCAGAGACTGCGGGCAGCTTCGCAACCCAGCGCTCAACCGCTGCGTCACCGGGGAGGCCCGGAAAATTTAATTTTTTAATTTTCCTCTGTTCCTTCCATTATATCTAATTCCCTTTTAAATCCTCACTTTCAGTTTGCTTTCATCTTTTTCTATAAAGATTTCAAATGTTGAGTGGCCTTCGCAGTTCATTTATATTTAAGAATGAGACCCCCCCCCCCCAAAAGCTGCTTAGAACCCATCCACTGGTCACCTAAGATGTGTGTTTGCCACACCCACCCTTGCATGTGGGATGGAGGAGGTGAGATACCACTTTCATGTGTGCTGAGCAGGCAGGCAGCGGGGCTTCTGACAGTCGGCTGAGATGAGGGCTCTATTACAAACTAGTTTAGAGTTTCTTAGCACCAGAACCTTGAAGTACTCTACTGCAGCCTGAGCTTAAATCAGGGAGAGGGTGTGATTCTAGAGATCAACAACAGGTTTGGAGTTGTCACTGTTATTTCCTTTCATAGATTGTTAAAAACATTCCTCTTCCAAAAGCCATATGAAGTAGGTGGCAATAAATAAATTTATGTGGAGAATGTTTAAGCCAAGAAGAGAATGGAGTAGGGAAAGAAGTGCTCCACCTAGGGATGGAATTGTCACTGTAGGCCATAGTCCACTCTGCTGGCCCTGGGGTTCCCCCACCAAAGAAGAAGGTGTGAGGGGAATAAAAAAGGTTGGGGGAAAGGGGAGAGTGAATTCGAGACAGTCTTCATCGTTCATGAGGAAGTATACCTGATGCTAAATATTTCGAGAAGTGTTTTCCCATAGGACGTGTACGAGGACATTCACTGCCAGATGATGTGGCAAATGTAGAGGCAACTTTTCAAGGGGCCTTTCCCGAGACCTGGTAGAATCTAGTTGTGCCATTCAAAGGTCTCAGGTGTGTGGCAACCCTCTCCTGGGCATCTCCCACTAGGACTGTTAGCAAGCCCATGTGTGCGCTCACGGCCTTTCCAGAATCTGAGTGAGAACCTGGAGATTACACGTGAGAACTGTGTTTCAGCTGCCCGGGCTCCCCATCTGTCCTGTCTGCCTGCCTGGCACAGACCAGCCTTTCTGCAGCTCAGGGTTTGGGGAGGAAGGAGGCAGCTGGAAGGTAGCAGGAGGCCCCTCAGACCCAGAACCTGGCAGGGCAGGGGAGGGTTCTGGAGGTATCTGCATACCTCTTTTGTTTCTTCCCTGAGGCACGCACAGACAGGGCAGCAGGTTGCAACCAACTGAAAGCCGAGCTCTGTGCTGTAGGATGTAGGTAGCTAGAGGAAAGTGCCTGGTTCTTAGGAAAGTCAAGGAACTTGGCAGGTGTTGGCATCAGTGCGCCAGGCTTGACCACATTTGGGGCCCCCCCCGGCAGCCTCTCAGCAGTCCTTGTGGGTGCACGAGGCAGAGACACTGGAATCTTCCAGTAACTGCCCCGGGCACTGGCCTCTTGGGAGGAGTGCCTGCAGTCTTCTATACCAGGCATGGTTCCAAATCGCAACAGTACTACTCGTTCACTAATTCAACCCTCTGGTGAAAGTTACTACTATTCCTATTTGGCTAATGACGAACGGTGCCCCAGACTTCACAGGTGAGGTTGGTGCATAGGGGGCAGTTTGGGGATGGGGAGCCCGCAGGAGGCAGCTGCAGCTCCCTTTCGAGGGTCAGAGGATGCCACCTAGAACAGAGGACTCATCCTGGAGGCCCTGTCAGAGGCAACAGTGGTGTGAGTAGTGTTTTAAGGGGAGAGACCCTTACGCAGAGGCCAGGGGGAGAGTACAGTGTGTTGGTGGAACTGAAGCAACTTCCCTATGTCTGGAGAGGTGAGAGGGAGGGAA